GAAATCGAACTGCTGACTAGACAGGGGTTTGATGACAGTAGAGTGTTTCCTGTGGACAACCAACAGTCCCATACTGATGCCACCTTTCATATGAGAAGGGGATTTAGAAAGGTTAACTCTAACAATAGTACACTCCTCTTTACTGTATGGCATACCGATGCCGTTAGTATGGTTTCATAGATGAATAGTGATCTCAAACTTTATAAAGGCCGTATGTGGGCGGTCTTAAGTTGATGTCTCCAAGGCTCTGCAGTTAGGCACTAACCCTTCTTTTTCAGGTGCCTCAGGAAGAACTGACTTTCCTTGATGAGGGCATCCGAGAAGTGTCACTCTCATTCACAACTCTGTCACTACTCAAGTCCCATCACACCCTTATCAACCTTCCATATTTTCGCCTTCCAATCTTTCTTCACATTACATTGCTACATTATCTATAATTTCTTTCAGCTCCGCAGCTTATCATAACGACTTGAGTTGCGGAATTGCATTCGTGGTCCCCTGGATCCAAGCTTCAACCAACTTACAGGAGCTTTCAATGTCCGCAACCTCCGTCAAATCGTCCAACAAGCAACGCTTGCCAAAACTTTGACATCTCGGACCATGAATGTGTGCTGTTTTTGTGAGGTACGCATACAGGACATCACCCGGCCAATATGATGAGTGCAATACTCACCTTCGAATTTCTGGAGATTTGTGATGGCTAGTTCTCGTAGTCTTGAAGTTATATAGGTATATCTTGTAGGTATATCTTTAAGTGTTAAGACAGAAAGCACACTCCCCGAATGAATCATAGCTGACAGTCGTTTGTATGCTGTTTAACTTAACAGCACAGTAAGGACTAAAAAGAGTGGTGAAACTCACTGTTTTCTTTTTGTAATCTTTGCGCATGCGCTGACTGCTGTTCAAACACCATTGAAGACTGTAACTCACTCTCAGAAAGTGCTTGGAAAGAACCAAGGGATCTCAGCAGCTGCTTCAGAATTAACGGATTCTGAAACGCAGGCTTGGAGTGTGATGTCAAGCGGAAGCAACTAAAAACATGAATCAACAAGACGTCTACGTAGTGACCGTAAATAGTGGTTAGTAGCGAATATTATAGATATGGAAAAGGCCGTGGCGATAGATAACAATACATAGTAATCTAGACTAACAAGGAAGCTGATTCAAAATGGTTAGTTGCTGTTGGTACTACAGGGACGGCGGTCGTGGATTATTGGTCAGGTTAAACGGTGTTAACTATAGTATGGGAATCAGATGTGGTCCCCTTTGCCTGGTCTTAATCACTAATTAACCCGGTTTTCAAAATAGGGGGAAATCCTTTCTTGATAACCCCGGGGGATTCAGCCTAATGACGTGGTAATTAAGTTTTGAGGGTGTCTGGAGTAAGTTTCTCGCCACTCGAATGAAAGTAGTCGCCTGAGCAGTGGTCTTCGTAGGTATTCTTTAAGCATCAGGGTGCTTGGTGGTTGAGTGTGTTGACCACTGCACTTACCTAGAAAGCTGAATTAGCCCTGGCGGGTCAGTGGCTGATGAAATATCTGCACGGATACAGAAGGCTGAAGTAGTGGCTCTTTCTAGATGACGCCACTTATGGTTCTGGATGGTATCCGATAGCTACCAAGGACTTAGTATGCTGCACAGCACATTGTTCTATTCTACTGTGTCTGTGAAATATAGGGGTTGAGCTTAGGTGACGAGTGCCTTCAGGCGTTCGACCACGGTTGCCATTTTTTCATAGTCCGTGTGTCATGGTGTCACCATATCAGTAACGTAGAAGCTAAGTGTAGAGTTATTGACTCATAAAGTTAGTCGGTTGATGTGGTTTCGAACCGTCATGGAGTTAATGTGGCTGGTACATATGTTCTGCACCCTTAGCTATGGTTTACCTTGTCGCATGATTTTAGTTTAATAGGTCCAGACTGGGGAAGTGTTTTAGATTTTGCCACACTATAACATGGCATCAGTGCATGAAAACTTTGATTGTTGCTCCGAACCGTGTAGGGATATCTGGACTTCCTGGTTGGGATGAATGTGATGACAGAAACCGGTGATTAAAGAATGTAGTTAACGTGTTTTGGCACCGACCTCACAAATGCATCCACATATCATCGTCACCTTAATCATCATACAGGATTTTATTGTTTTTCCATTTCTTCTTGTTCTCTTGTCAAGACTTTCTACTACTTGTTACGGCTCTCTTCTTCTTAATCCTTGACTTTAGTGCCTTTTCGCTTGATATGTTGATATGAGTTGTAGCAACTTGAACCCATTGCTCAGTAATGCGTGATCGTAGGTTGATTTTTTCTCTCTATATCCATCTGTATGAATGTTGGCAAAAAGATAAATAATAAAGCGCATCAACCATTCAGTTTTCATGTAATCTAAATTTTACCTTCAAAACGTTTAGTGTTTATATAAAAATTATTCCAGAATTCTACCCAACTGTTGAATTCGAGTTTTCGATTAGATTTACACGTTCAGTTTATAATTGAGTTAATAGATTTTATCGTTAGGTAAATTTCTCTACGGAACTCATCCTCAGCATAGTGAACCGCAGGATTAACATGAACTGTCTGAAAAAATTGCTTTAAAGGTTTTCAAGCCATAATGTTGCATATTTCCATCTGCTGTAATGTGCCTTTGAAGCTGGACTTACGTTAATGGTTATTGTACACTCCATCCATAATTGTTTTGTTTCATCTATTATTTGTTTATATTCGTAATGTCTTGCAAAGGATATGAAATCGATTGGTATTCAACAGCTTGAAGCCATTCGAAGACTTAAGTCACGTGGATGCCAACAGTTACGTCGTACAATCTACTTGACTTTCGTACCAGATGAAGAGTTGGGAGGTGCCAAAGGAATGAAACCGTTTGTAGCCAATGATACAAAATCTAGCAACCAGTCATCCAAAGGGATCATTTTTCAGAAATGAATATTGGTTTCTGTTTGGACGAAGGTATACCAAGCACGTCAGAAGATTATCTAGCATTTTACGATGAACGTCGACCAGTTTGGGTGAATGTACACTTTTATGGAAATGCCGGTCATGGTCTATCTTTAATTGAAAATACTGCTGCCGAAAAATTCCAAATATTTTTAAATCAGTAAGACTTTCGTTGTGTTCTGCATATGCTTTCACTGTGTTGTATAATTGGTACTAACAGGGTTATGTTGATTTGATGTATGAGTATTTACATTCACTGTCGGTGTTTATTCATCAACCAGCTGGCAAATAATTTACACGGTCTTATTATCTAATGAGTCAATGCAGCGGTATTTTATTGCCCACATCCAGACGTTTGCAACCACCCATCCATTTTATTAAACAGGTTCGTGTTGAACGTTTGTTTTGTAGGCGTGTGTACATTTCAAATCTCAAGTTTTGCGTCTATGAATTGTAAGAACTATCTGTTGCTACAAATTCCAACTAATTTTTTAGTAGGTATGCAAATGAAGAATACCTACTGCACTATTTGACCGATTGATACATATTTTGGTGTGTATATTCGGAGACAATCGTTGAGATACAAATTTCGCCGCTGTTTTCTCTAACTAGTAAAGTGTATCCGCAAACTCGAAGAATATCATGTACCCTCAGAGATTGGAACCTGTAGTCGGAGATGCCATCGATAAGCTACTCAGATCTCTAATAATGTTCTGTGGAATTGTTTCCAAGTAATCACTAGGTTTAACCGCAGATGTTGACCGCATAATACCAATCAGTGGATTCCGGCCTACCTTATCAACCTTAGAATGTGTGGGTGTATTTTAAATACTTTTGATCAGTGTCTAGCATGACATTGAAGCGTTTCCCATCAAAACTGAGGTTCAAAGAACAATCTACTCTGGATATCCATAGACAGACAGTCAAAATTTAAGCAGAATCTAATGCATTGTGCATTGGTTCAAGTTGCCACACTTCACAATAGCATTAGCTGAAAAAATGGATCGAAAAAGATTAATATCAAAGAACCCAAAAGTTTACGGAACGAGGAGGAATTTGAAAATGAAGGTGAGTGAAAATGTTCAAGCTTCAGAAGGCGTCAAAGAGTGAATACATCTGCACCAATGTGATCGACCTTTAGCCATTTCACCAATAGTCCTCAACCACTGATTCCTGACGTCTTGGGTACCTCAGCCAGGTAGTCTACACATACCCACATGCCTCAGACCGACAGTCAAAGTATTTATGGACTAGTTCCATATGTTGATCTGGCCATGATGAAGCAAACATCTTCCAATCTAATCCTAATTCAGCTAGCATTGCACTTACAGGTAGGCAGTGGATTGGCATGCACAACACATGCCCTAACCACCTTAGTCGTTGAAAGTTAACAACCTCAACGTTTCCTGACTTCCCAAGTACCCTTCATCTAACCTCAAAATTTTTCACCCAATGATTCCACTACATTCGAGGAGTGCTACAAAGACATATATGGTCGTATCCTGTAATCTCTCCATCCTTTCTATCAATTACCAGCCAAGTATTACAGCTGTGCAATAAAACACAGCACACCGTATCCTAATATATACATTCTTTAATAGGTAGATAGATATTTTGTTCGCACTACAAATGATGTTTGCTGGTTAACGCCAAACAGGCATTTTGTACTCAGCTGAGATACTGTCAGCGACCGACCCGTCTGGGCTAGTGTAGCCCCCCGGGTAAGTGGAGTGGTCGGCGGATTGTACCACATCACTCCTTATCCGTAGACTGTGAGTCACTGTAGACGAGTCCTGAAGCATCATCTTACATTTGACATGTGCGAAACGCATGGCAAACACATACTGAAATTTCCGCTCAAGGTTTTTCGAAGACTCTTTATTTTGTGATGGTTTTCGCGTAACAGGCCATTGTGACGTGGTTACTCGAAGTCAGACAGTTGCACTACTGGTAGTAGGTGGATAGGTGTGAATTCTGAGTTACCTAATGTTACGTTTAATAATAATGCGTGTATGATAAAGTTGAAGAGGGAGGAGGATGACAGGCATCGCTGTCGGCTTCACTTCATTAAATGACAAGTCTGTCTGGCCGTTGCGCACGGCCGCGTGATTTCGAGTGGAAAGCTTTTATTAGGAATTGCCTATTTATACAGTACTCCCTTGATAGTCAGAGATAGTGACAATACCTCCTAGTCGACGTGGAGAGATGCCGCCTTCAGGTGAGAAGATAGGGCAGGTGTTTACTGACGGTAAGTGTGTCAGCGTTGCAGGAGGTGTCGAGGGATGAAGATCTGATGTATTCACCGTGGCTGGTGTCTGGAAGTTGCCTGGTTTTCTGTAGCTTGGTAGTCTCTGGGTAGAGTTAGGTGTGTGATTACTATGGACCGAAGTATCTTGGGCATGATATGTTATTTCAAGTGATTTTATTTGTTTATGACAAGAAGACTTCTCTTCTTTCTTCTAGACTGGAATACTGAGTGAATTAGACCAGTGTGATAGGACTATCTGTGATTGTCATACACTAGCTAGTTAGTTAGTACCTGGTCATTCTACTCAGTAATTTCTTGCGTGCTTCCTTAGAAAGTTTGGTGGTAAACGGTGAGGTCGTGCTGGTTGGGATTGTTTCAGGTTTTAAAGAGGCTTATGACTTTGGAAGAAAGTCGGAGGACGGACATGTAGGTTGGATTCAGGTTGGAGCTGGGTGCTGGTCAAGTGAAACATTGCTGTGGGACAATTGAACTATGCTTCGCAGTGTTGCACCGAACGTTGTGGCCACCTGTCTCATGAGGTTATCCCGCAGACAGGCACTCATGGTTTTGGGTGATGGTCTCACTGACCATCGTTTTCTTCTTGGGAGTATGCTTAATGAGCGGAAATGATTGTCGAGTATTACTTAATGCTCATATCTTCTTCCTAACTTTTGAAACATCACCCTTTGAGTATTATCGGTTTGAGATTTGTTGGTTCTGTAGTCATTTTGGGCAAGGGCGTCGATCGCTCACTGGTTTACCGCATCTCAGCGTGGAGTTTGCCTATTTTGTGGGCAGCGTTCTTAAACAATTCCTTTCTATGAAAAATGCACCCTCAACATGCTACTGCTGACGGCCTGGATCCTATCATGGCGCAGTAATTTAAACTATAAAAGTAGCTGCTTTTCGAGTTTCTTTGATCTAACGGACCTTGGTGACATAGTAAGACCTCAGGCGTTCTGCCAGCATAGCTCGTTGGATTTTTGGGATATGCAAGCCCGTCTACTTTTCAAGGTAACAGCTAGAAATGTTTGTATCATCGCTAATACATATTTTGTTACATCAGTTGCCCGGAATATTTTGTTTCTGAACTTTTAATTTTCTTTTCTTATGACAGTATAGGAAGTACTTTACGGAAATCATTGGTGCAACAGACTGAATTGTTCATTCACTAAGCGGATTGGTATCCTAATGCTTTAGTTACTTGTCTGTCATTTATCTGGTCACAAATCCAAGTTAACTACATCTACTTCTGTTGGCACTGTCAATTAATATTTATCGCTTATTTAGAATACTTGTGGATCAAACGCGATATATACCAACCTGAGGGTAGATAGTGATGTGTATTTCCGTTGAAGTTACTAGTTAGGAACTGTAGCCCAGGTGATTTTTCACTCCATCTTAGCACTTGAATTTTTTGGAACGGTGTTACTGTGGCTAAATGATTTCGGACAGTTATCTTCACCCAATGGCTCACACGTTTGAATTAATATCCTCCTAATGAGGTCTGAGCGTTGAGGTAGTATCACTAGCCTTCACCGAATAGGTTTGTCTCATTGCCTACTGCATGAAGGTGCACGTGGTTTTTGAATGTATTTCAATTTTTTCTAGTGTTAGAAACAGCAATAATTGTGTTGAAACACTGCTATGTTGGCTAGTAAGTGGTCATGTTGTTTAGTCCTGTGTACCAACTGAATTCCATCAGTGCATTTTTAGTTTTAGTACGCATGTTAGGTAGTTTAACATCTTTCCTTACTACATTGTATTTCATGTTGTTAACTAGAAGATAGTTGTCAGAAATTTTGAACTTTGATTTCGTACATGTTTGATCTCTTCAATGAGGTCTATCAATGTTTTTCTAATATTTCACACTGGGTTATTTTTGAGGTTTGCCATGTAAACACGAATATAGTAAGGTGGGTAAGCATTTATAGGAAAAGAGAGCTGCAATTCAGGCAGACACAGAAAATTGTTGTCTGCAAGTGCATTTTCTCATACATCCATAGATGAACTCCTTTTTCTGGTAATAGTTTTGTGGTCAACCAAATGTAGATTGTGTCTGTGGAAAATTCTGGAGTTTTTGGTATACGCCAGTTGTTTATAAATATTTCGTTTTACATCAAGTTTCTTGAGAGATCTGAAAAACTGAGATATGGACCTTCCAAAGTTAACTAGTGATACAGTTGAGTAAATTACAGTGGTGTTTAGTGTTGTATGGCATACTTTCCTTTCCATTATCACAAGATTAATGCAGTAAGGGAATGCATAGCCTCACAATAAACAGGTGGTAGAGTAAAAGTACATCTGCATCATGTGGGTTGATTGTAAGTCGTACCACCGCTATTCGCTTTGTTCTCTACTATTTTGTCGAAATACCGATCTTTTGTCATAGAATTTAGCGACTGTCATAGATCTCTAATTGATGGCACGCCTTACTGAGGTATATAAAATTCAGCATAAGAAATATACATTTGCTAAAATGATTAAAATTCCTGTCACTTAGTGGTTGGAACTTAACATTGTGAGCAATCTGAACCTTTGTTGATCACCTACTGCTTTTCTTTCTTGTATTCCATTTTAAACGATTTATTAAATGTTGTAGAAAAATCTTTGCATTTAACTTTTAGTGTTTACGTTTTTCGTAAAGAGGAAAAGGTGAGATTAGAAAATTCTCAAGGGAAATTGACACTAGGCGATATAACCACAGTGAACATGACAATGATGAGTGGTGGTGTACAGCACAATGTTGTGCCTGGGAAGCTTTCAGCATCATTTGATATTAGATTGACCCCATCTTTTTCGTTGGATAGTTTGAAGGAGAAATTGGGTCAGTGGGCATTGAATGCTGGTGGGCAAATTGAAGTTAGTTTTTTCGATATTTTATCTAAATGTTTTCTCAATTGGCAGTCGAAATTTTTGTCGGACCAACTTGACATCTCTGTATAGATTGTAATCGTGTAGTGACAGTTTACAAAATTTTGAATAACTGTTTCCGTGATTGGGTCTTTTGAATTGGGGATCTTAGCATACTTTTGGCTTTTTAACATGGTTATTCAATGAGGTGAAAGTTATTGTACTTGTTAAACTCTTTGATTGATTTCTTGATGACCTTCACTCAGCTCTACAGTGCATTGGTTAGGGAATCTGTTGTGATACAAATTGCATACAAATTTGAGTGTAACCTGAGTAACCAGACGCAGGAAATTCAGAAAAGAATTGCTTATTTTATTGTAAAATGACACTGATTGAATGTAAAGAACAACCCTATTATTATGACCAGAGGAGAATGTATTTGAAGTTACTAAATGAAGCAACCAGTAATGCAGTGTTAGTAGAAATATTTTTTATAGTAAATGTTATAAGAATTGCTGTCCTACACTTGATATAATTACCTATATGACTACCACCTATATGCCTAGTTTTTATTAATGCATACTCATTAATCTACAAGTTCGAGCAAACTGTAATACCTATGATCAAACGATTGAGCAATCTTGTACACTTTTCACTTGACTGATTTCACCCACTACTTGAAGTGAATGCTACTTGATTAGGGAACATTATTGTCTTTTTCAGACAGAATTTGCATTCTCGAAAAATATGCAGTTCTAATACTTTCTAGAGATTATAATCATTCATCTATCTGATTCATATTTATCATTGAAAGCCTAAATGAAATCTAATAAAAAGGGTTTCTCTGGTTTATCGAAGTGCAAAAAATATCGCGATAGTTGGCAGTAGGTTCTTGAGTTCACAACAGTTGGTCATATAACTGTTAAAGAGATGGTTAGCAGGAACTGCAAATTTTTATGCTGGCTGCACAATCCCCACCCCCCCCCCAACCAAACCTACGGGTGCTTTTCTATTCGTTCCCCCATGCAACAACATAACCTTAAACTAGACGATAACCTAAAAGCAGTTGTCTATTGTGTATTATTGGTTATTATACGGCTAATATTAACATTATTTAACTACAATGGTTATATAATTTGTAAACATCACACTGAGAATTCCATACTGTATTGAAAACTATTGTCTGAAATAAAGTGGTTATTACTGTTGTTGAAGCTCTAAGTGGTGTGGTGAGTGATAAGACATAGACATTTGTTTGAAACGACATTGTCTCATTCAAAACACCATAGTCTTCGTCGATTAAAAACCTTCAATAGGCTGTTACTTAAGTATAATACTATCCGTCACGTTCCAGAATACAAATATTATTTCCTCTCTTACTGTCCTAAAAGAGTTTATGCCCAGTGGCAGAGTTTTTTATTCAGTGTCACCACAAAAGGAATGAATTTCTCACTTAGCCTTCAGGCCAGCAGCATATGTCGTTTACATTGACAAGTCTGAATGCCATGTAGATTTTATCATTTCATCATGTCATTCACTTCAACTATGTATTAACCAACAACTGACTGAAACTTAATGGAAAACAATTAACCGAGTCAAGAGGTTCACATATCTTACCATAATTGCTTGATATTCTTGTAAAAGTCTCACTGTTGATTTTTAACTCAACTATGTGACAACTTTGAGTGATTCTTAACGTGACCGCAATTGTAACGTGGTTTTTACCTTCATTAGCTGGTCAGTAATCTTAGAGGAAAGTAATCCATGGGACATATAAAATGAACACAATACGTGGGTAAACCAAAATGGGTGAGCTCTTTTGTATCCGTTACTGAGTAATATTAACACAAATCACTTTTGAACGCATAATAAATTCAAAACAGAGGTTCTAAGATAAGGAAATGAAATTTCCTGATACCATAGTTCATGCTGATCCATGGGATGCCTTCATGTATAATTTTGGAGTAATACGATGCACTACAAATGTTGTTAAGGCTTTTAGTTGGTTTTACTGTCGGAAATGCTATCAGTGTATTTAATGAGCTGGAATGTCGTTACTGGTTTGGTCCAATGTACAAAACCCTGTAGCAAAATATGAAAATATTCCATCTGCACATTACAGGAATGTATGGTGACTGATGTGTACAGTCTTTTCTTACTTTCAATCATTTAGTTAACGGGAATGTTATCAACTAATGACATTACTAAGTATCGTGTCACTTGAAGGCACTCAAGCTTGTTTCTAACGTTTAATTCACTCTGACTCTAAATTTATTATTCTCATATACAAGTAAACATTCTTACTTTTTACATTATTGTAACTCTGTTTGTGTTATTATAGTTTGAATTTATCAATACTGGCGTCGAATTAAAACAATCGGTTGTCGTCCCAGATGAATCAAATAATCCGTGGTGGTCTACTCTGACTAACGTTTGTTCAAAATACGCCAGTAAAGTTCAGAAGAGAATTTTTCCTGGTGGTACAGACGCCAGATTTGTCCGAGAATATCACTTACTTCCACATGTTAAAAATGGTAGGCCAATACAAGCAATTGGGTTCTCACCTATTAGAAATACACCAGTTTTATTACATGATCATAATGAGTATTTGGACAAAGCAGAATTCATACGTGGATGCCATCTGTATTCCGATCTTGTTCAACATCTTGGTGAATTACCTTAACTTAATAAATATCTAATTCTTCTTTTCAACTTATTGTAATTATATCAATCACTATTTCAAATTTTCACACTAGTTTTTTGTTAACTGTACGTTCGTTAATTCATATGAATAATTAAAATTTCCAATGATTATTCTGCTTCTTATACTTACTTACCAATGACGGGAGAGCGTGGCAATGCATCTGTCATTAGGCAATGTGCCGAACATATTGTGTGGGCGATTATAACACTGAGTGGCTGCTCAGACCTTTGGTAGGTGGTGGCCGCGTTCATACTTGTACCCCAATAGCTAAAAGTGGAGTGCCTAGACCAACGAGCCACAACTCGACTGCACCAAAGGGTGCGGATTAGAAGGTTTCTCTTTGAGAATGTTAGCATTTGTACCTTATACTACTTGAAAACTGTCCACCTGTTTTCTTATTCATTAGGGTTCTAACATAGTTTATATTGTCAGACCTTTGAACTTCTATTCATTAACTGGTCCAGAGAATCACAAAAAAAGCTTCAGTCTGTCTAGAAAAACTTCCAGTGTTTATCAATATCTTACGTGCCACTCAATCACCCCACCAATCAATTCTGGCTATTAAAGTCTTTCTTCGCATTTGATTCACAGAGTTATTCGTCTCTCTTCGATGATGTTACCTTTATTTTGCCTCAAATCAGATCATCATTCGTGCTTGTTTTTTTACTTTCAATTAGCTTATTTCTTCCTCTAACCGAAACGACTTACCGGCATTTCCGTCTTTGGCTTTTCATACTGATGTCACAATCATGTATCGGCTCTTAAATAGCCTCAGAGTACAGGCCTCTTGTTGATAGTAAGCAATTAATTGCGAATACTCAATTTTCGCATAGAAATAATTGAAGAATCAAGGTGCAAAATCATTAATAATGTTCGACAGTGATAAATTAAAGATAGATAGCGTTTTCCAACAGCTTGCGCAGCAGTTGACTTAAAAGCTCTAGGTTTTAATCCAGTAATAACCATATTCCTTTTACAATATCATTATTATTATATGTCTTTTCGGTCCCTCGTGGAACATAGGACTTCAGTAGCACGTCTCCATTGCACTCTGTTCTCTGCAGTCTTCTCAACCTGGCTCAACGACTGCCCACAAGCTCTCACTTCTTCCTCATATGATCTCCTCCATGTCACCCTCGCCTCGGACGCCCAACTCGTCGTTTCCCATCTGGGTTCCTCTCGAGGGCCTGGGGCGTGATGTCACCAAATAGTCATCTCAGTGTATGTCCAATCTAATCCATCTCCACTTCCTTCTGCATATTTGTTGGGAGATAGGTTGTTGGTTGGTTCTTTGCCAGCCAGACTTCCTTGTTGCTTATTCTTATTATTCTGGCCATCTGGTCGACCTTCAGTATCGAGTGAGCGTAGGTGGGAGCTGTTGATGTATATCTGTAGTTTGTTGGAAATGCTTTTCGTAACGCGCCAAGTCTCTCAACCATCACATAGAAGCACTGACTTGATTGACATTAGTGTTGAAAATCCGGATGTTGTTCACGCTTTATGCTGAGTGCGGAGGATCTCCACACTGATTATTTCAGATTGATGAAAGGCCTGTCCTGTTGTCTTTCCGATCCTGGCTGGCTTTGACATCCTCATTTGTGCCTGTGCCGCTGCCTGTAGTTGAAAGGATGGTGCGCTGCCTAGGTAGGTGAAAGAGACAACTTCCTCTTAGTTTCTCCTCTTGATGGTGATTGGTGCTTGTTGTTGTTGCTGATGGTGGTGGTTGGGTAACTTCATCACCTCTGTTTTCTCTACGTTCACCTGAACGAAGTCCCATCTCCTCTGCCTTGCCTCTTCTGTCAACTTGTTAGTTTTCGCCTGTAGATCTTCGAGTTTGTGCGATAAGACATTAGACATAAGTCATCATCTTTGGCGAAATCCAAATCTTCTTCTGGAGTCTATTCATCGGTTAAGCAGCGTATGCCACTCTTCTCACTCCTCACAGTTGTCTGCTGCATGATCCAGTTGACGACAATCAGTCAGATCATCGGTGATAGTAGGCGGCAACGTTGTCTTACTTCTGTCTTCATTTCAAAGGCGTCACTGAGCTTTCCATCATGAATGACTTGGGATGTGGCGTCTTTATATAGTTGTTGAGCGAAGTTGATAAAGATTTGTGGCACTAAAAGCGTATTGTTGAAACAGCTGCCTGGCAAATTATTTCTCGGTCGACACTGTCGAAAGCCTTTTGAAAGTCGATGAAGTTGAGGTAGAGTTGAGTTGACTGCCATTCTATGCTCTGTTCTATGGTGATGCGTAGCGTAGTGTTGCAATTCGGTCCACACATGATTTGTTTTTCCTGAAGCCAACTGTTTTACGGTAATGAGATGAAATGGAATTCATGTGTAAATAGGTTTGTTTCTCCGAGTAAATTTCCAAATAAGGAGCCATAATCTTTTTATTCTCAACTTAAAAACGTCGATTCTGCAAATAACTTTACAAGTAAATGTTTGATCAGATTGTTCGAAATGTAGGACGCAAATGAATCAGATTTTCAGATAATCTGCGTCTTTTAAATGCACTATCCAAAAGTGTTAGCCTTGAGCAGACGCGGTCACAAACTATGGGGTAGATGGAATAGTATGTGGTAAGTAATTGTAAGCATACATTAATACACTTCATAGCCAGTGAAAACCTAAGGATCCATTTTCGCCTTTATTTATTTTCTTGATACATTTTATGGTCTAATTACCTTGTGGTGTCCCTTCTTTATATCATAGTACTCAATTTATTGTTGGTGAATTGTGCTGATACGCCTCAACTATTACAGCCGCTAAGTGATTCTTGAACACCCACTGTCGGTCAGCGTCCTACAACTTCCAGTATGGTGAAAAGTGCTCAGACGAGCAGCTTATTTACTAGTCAAAGGTAAAGAGATTTTTTAGGGGAAGAACGGTAAATCTATTAATGACTGAGCTAGGCATTCTGACTGCATTACTGCTGATCGGCGTTCTTTTGTCTGTTTGCCGATGTTGCGGAGCTCCTCATACAATTCACTAATGTGTACAATAGGGTCAAAATTTGAAGAACTGCCTGATAGGCATACATCTTCATTAGGACTGGTACCGGTGGTTCTAGGAATATGTGATACCAGTCCGGGTTTCGGTCGCGTTACTTCCGCCTCTCTAACTCAAACTACTAAGGGTATCAAATCTATTGAGAAGGCCTGATGGTCATCAGCACGCATCCTAGGATGACCAACCAACGTCCAGTACGATCTTCTAGAATGTTGAGGAGTAATACGCATTATCTGAATCTGGTTGAGTCGGCCATCAAACACATCTTACTTGAAATATCCAGAGGACACATCTCCAAAGTGATCAGAATACGGAGAAAAGGATGACAAACCCGATGAGCACACAATAAAGAAGAAATGGGTGTACTACTGAATAACGCATCCAAACTACGAAATCGGAACATCCATATCCAGCCAGGCTGGGCTCTTGAGGACCGGATTGCTGAGATTGAGGCTTGACAAATGAATGGAGAAAATAATCTTAAAACTGGGTTTCAGGTCTGTATGGGTGGATCATAGGACTCTTCAAACGTAATCTACATCAGTGCTTATTCCATCAGAAATAAAACGACAAACCTCTGGACTTTAGTCCATGAACTAGATGCTGATGAAGTGGCCATTAATGAAACCTAGCTAATGAAGGATTTATATTTATGCCACCTCCAATGAGGTATTACTGTATTAGGATAAATATAGGTTGTGGGTTGCAAGGGTGGTGGCATGCTACCCTATTTTCATCCCCTTCATATGCTACCAGTCACTTCAGAAGCATATCATTTCGGTATCTGCCAAGGGGCCAGTTGCGAACTGAAGTCAAAGAAAGGCTTCTCTGTTATTGGGGTTATTTACCGTAGTCCGTCTTCCTTTGCAGATGACTTCCAATTCATGCGCATAAATGGAGTCAAAACAACCGCTGCTTAGTTAGTTGGAAACCTGAACACTCCACTCATAAACTTGACGAAATTTACAGTCTTAGCCTCAGACAGTTGCTTCGAATATGACCTACTTTTAACGGCACTATAATCTGTTTTAGTTCAAAACATAACTTGTGCGACACAATAGAATTTCGAGCACAAGCCGTCTTTATTAGATTTGTTCTTAACACACCAATGTAGAGGCATTATGGATCTACGATACCTCCGTCCGTAGCTAATAGCGATCGTGTGGTTCTAAATTTCGGTTCTCGAAAGCATGACTTTGATTATGACACTGCTTCCCCTAGACGTAATATGTGGTGCACAGACATTTCAAGTATAAAGCACTGTGCAGTCGGTAAGTATTGGACTATCGACAAGGACTCGTCGGTCGAGGACACCTGGTTTGAACTCTATTCGAAGATATAACAAAACTGTTTATTCCATGGGTGACCCCATGTAAATCCTCACATTACCCCCCGATGGTTTCATAAAGGCACTCAAAAACTAAGTATGTGGAGAAATGTTTGTGGAATTTGCTTATGAAAACTGGACTGGAAACATTTAAAATTAGGTATTGTAAAGTCCGTAGTCTCTGCAAGTCCCTAATTACACAGTCTCAAATGTCCTGCAAGAAACAGCTTGCAAATGATTACCAAAACTGTCCGAAAAAACCGTTCGTATCATGATATGAATACGGATAATAAATTATGTCCGAAAAGTTATCCAGTAATTGGTACTGTTTCACTGTGTGACATTTCTAATAAAAGTAGTAAAATGAAAGATAAGACATCACTAACGAAGTCATTATTAAGGATACGACGTGCCAGTACGAGGTCGCCGCGTTTCCTACGGTAAGACAAACGAAATAAGTTTAGTCGAATTAATCGTTCCTCGTAAAAGAGATTCAAAAGGCCTACCACTAGCTCAGTACCCCCACTGTGAATGCACTTGAGTATGCTAACATTGCTTTTAGGTGAGGAGTGGCCACCTGAATGCAGTATTCCAGGTCAGGTCTAAAGTAAGTAGAACAGAGTGCCTTGAACATATCTTACTCAAACCTTCTGAAAGCTCTGTAGGTGGACCATAATACACGGGAATCCTGTACTGCAACTGCATAACAGTATACCGAAGTTTTCAAATCATGGCTTATGATGACACTTAAGTCTTGCGGTTCAAA